CTTGGTGTCATCTGCAAACTTAGGGAGCACTTGATTTGCCCAGTGTTACAATTAAACACATATCTGCTTATTTTATACAACAAAATTCTCATGTTTCAATGATTTATGCAGTGGATTTCTTGATTTGTCTGTTCAATAAGGACCTGCTTGTGCAGTTCTCTGCACTTCCTTCTCCACAGGAGATCTATTTTTACTTGTAGTTCTTCAGCTGGTAGTTGACTGGACCCCAGCCAATTTTAATTTAATTACTATGATTTTCACATAGCTCTTAGTCCAAATAAAAACTGTAGTATGTATTGCCACACCAATCACATATTTAACATGGAGCAGATATGCTTGGACTGAAGTTATACCTTCTAGAAATGCACCCTATAAAGTGGAATGTTGATGCAAAGCCAGATCACTTGTTACACAGTTTAGATGAGTACAATATTCCTTTCCCCCTCCCAAAGCAAAACCAGTGTTGAAATGCAGGACAAAGCTAACATTGTAATTTCCAAAGGTCACCATGCTGTGGTTAAACATACCTTGACTATGTGCATGTCTACACCATACATTTCCAGCCACTTAGCTTTGTTTAAGTAGTTAGTTTCAGCCTGTGCTGGTGTTTGCCCCCTGAAATAAATTTTTTGCTGTTAGGTAGATGCCTGAAAAAGCACAGAAAGGAAAAACTGGTATATGACGAAAGAGGAAAAGAAATTCCTGAAAGTTTGTGAAAAACAAATACTGCTGACACTTGTTCGCTTTCATGCACATCAAGGTCATTTCTGTAAGTTTTAATCTGAAACCGCTGCAGCAAAAATTACTCTATTTCAAGATTCTGTACCTCATCATTTTACTTAGACCTTTGAAAAGCTTAATTTTTCACATTATACCCTCTTACAAAATATGACAGAAGCATATTTATGCTTTATATAACATCTATTTATGTTTCTAAATAAGACCACAGAAGTGTCAGCAGCATCTTTTTAATACATCCTCTTCACAGAAAAATCGGTGCAAACAGCTGGTTAGCATGCACTGGAAGATCTAGTACCTGCATTCCTTCCACTTCTCAAAAATGGCTAGTTCCATCTCTTCAGTCTGAGTGGGAACAAACCTGAACTCAGACACCAGTTCAGGGACATGTTCAGCAAAGCTATGAAAGAACAGTATTGTCAAGCAATGTTCCCAGTAACACCATGGATATTAACAAGAACTTTTGTATGCTTTTCTAGTTAATCTAAATTTCTAATTTCTTTTTCTGTTGTTCTTTCTCCTCCAGTCCCCCCAACACCTTTTTTGACAGGGAAGTTATGGACACTGAACAAATGGTCATGCTGTCTGCATGAAAGCTTTGCATTAGTTTTTTTGCAAAGTGCTATTGATATATTCCTTAACAAGCTTCCTCTAAATGGAAGTTAACAACATCCTAGAAACTCACCTTTTTTCTTTCTTGCAGAAAGTTTTCAACATTTTTATCACTTAAGTCTCTAGTGAAACAACAACTGACTAATGTTACAATGGAATTTTGACAAATTATTAAAACAAAATCTCTTGAGATCTGTAGAAAGCAAAACCAGTTCTGACATTTTTCATAAAACTATTTGTCCATTCTAAAAATCAATTTCTGTTTTTATGACTATAAATCCTCCTGTCCTGCTAAAATTACTCTGTGTCAGGGCAGGATCACACAGTTGTTTTTTGAGTCTCTCCTTTTCATCTAAGAACATAATAAATGCCCTACTGGGTCAGTCAAATGGCTCATCTAGTCCACTGATGCATGCTCAACAGGGGCAATAAGGGATGCTATTTAGAGAGCATACTGGAACATACTAGTCAATGGGTGTGCCACATCAAAAGCACAACCTCCTTCTTCCACAGATGCTAAGAAGTCCAGCTATTAAAGAATGATGTATATGCTGAAAATGCTGAAACTCGCAGTTAGAAACCTTTATAAAATGTCCTGATTTTCAGAGTCACTAAACACTTGCTCCTCCCACTCATTTCAAATAGCTTCTTAATGTCCAGCTCATATCCAAAAATTAGGAATAATTCTGTAACTTGGACCTTGGGTGGCTGATACAGGCCAATAACTGTTCTGTCTGAAAAAAGAAACTACAGAAGTTTGTGTAGGGGAAAAAATAGTGGCATTTTTGGGAAGACCTTGAAAAGTCAAATACATACACACAGTACTCCATAGGTACAAAAACTACCTACAATCTAGAAACCTGTTTCTTGGATTTCTGAACACTGCAAGCATAACAACAGCCTTTTCACCACCTCCTTTTTCTTTTTTTTTTTTCCTTAATGCTGACTGAGGAAGTCTGTAGTTCTATAATAATTTACTCCCACTAAAACGCCTGCCTCTGTTGAAAGGAATGCTGTCAAAGCCAGCTTAGGTTCCAGTTGATTTAAATAAAAGTACACAGCTGTCAGACAGTAAGATTAAAGCCCTGCTACAGGCCTCATTGTGGAGAGAGGAAAGAAAAGACCAGCACAAAAAGCAATGGATATACGGCCTAATTAGATCACTTTGTTTTTCCAAAAACTTATCCACTGAACCTGTATCTTAAGGCTCTAACAATGCTAATATTTTTGACTATGGAATGTAATCTAACTGTTTTCCTTCCACACAAAAGAGCAGGTTAAAAAGGCAGGTGTCTTTACAGTTTAATCCCAACTCTCTGTACCTACACATGATCAGGGCCATTAGTAGTTCCTGCCTGAAGAACAAAATGTGCTTTGGAAAGTGTAAGAGAAAGAATTTCAGTGACTTAGTCCTGTTACCGAACTCCTGCAAAGTACAACAGTGCATTGGTTTATAAGATGAATGTTGTCTAGAGAATTTGTGCGGCACAAAGGTATGGCACATCCACAAATTCCTTCTTCAGAGGACTGTACAACAGCTTTACAGCAAAGGTCCTGGGATTTTTTTTGTAGGCTCATAAACTGGGTTGAATAATGCTATATAGCTATATCCTCCAAAAAGGATCCAAAAGCCTATTCTAGCAGGCATTTCTAAAATGTCAAGCTTCCCCTCCTGAGCTCCCCTGCTTAAAACGAGAGCAAACTTCACATTCATTAAGATCACACCCTCACCCAAACAGAAAACACTGGCAATGAAAATCAGTGATATACAACCTATACAAGCAACTGAAGGTCAGACGACAGCTATCAGAGCAGCCATGGAAGTTGAAATCTCAGCTGGAATCAAAAGCTAAAGACAACTCATTAATAAGAGTCTCAGATGACTCAAGCATAGTGTTGTATAGCTGAGAAAAAACCTATGTTTCACCTTTTTTGGCTGAAGAAGGATCTGAAGTACCAACAAGTTCAGTTCAACCATAAATTCTCAAGTACAAGCATGAGACATGGGACACTAACATGTTTCTACAAACAAGCTGAAGTCAAAAGCTGGTGTTTTTTATATACAGGACTTTTAATTGAGTGCAGAACCTAAATAATTTTGTACTTGATTTGTACAATGAAGAAAACACATGACAGAAACTACAGGATGAAAAAAGTGAACTGTGTTACTGCATCAAAGCAATTCAGGAAGACTGCAGACCTTCTATCTTGTGTGAGGGTGACAGGTTTGCACACAAGCACCTGACAAAACAAGTTTAGGACAAAGCTGTTTATGTTCAGAATCTCCTTGTTATGTTTCCTGAGGAACTGAGTAATTTTCTATATGTGCTCTCAGCAAAATTACAATCAAAAAGAGCTGTGTTTCACAGTGGATCGCTAACTTCTGGGCGGAACCTATTTTCTGGCTATAACAAGGACAGACTAAAAGAGGTAGTAAGAGTCTACACAAAGCTGTTCATGCAACCTCGTCCTTCCCCACTCGTACCTACTCACCTTGCATGTTATAAGCTGCCAACTGGACGGCTGTGTCAAAAGGACATTCCAATCTGCCGTAAGAGAAATACATTGTGAAAACCTTAGCTAAGTCTATTTAGCAGACAACTCCTATACCTGACAGTGAGAAACTGCAAATGTTTGGGATAAGAAAGTGAAAAAGGTTTAGTATATCTTCAATAACTTAACAAGAGATAAACACTACATTATTTAAGCATTCCTTATTCGTGTATAGAAAAGTAATATTTTAGAGAAGAAAACCCATTACATTACTTAGCAAAACTTATTAATTATCCAAATATAAGTTTAATAAAACCTATGCTAAACTGTCGTGGTTTAGCCCCAGCTGACAACTAAGCACCACACAACCACTCGCTCACTCCCCCCCCTGCCCCAGTGGGACGGGAGAGAGAATTGGGCAAAAACTCATGGGTTGAGATAAAAACAGTTTAATAGGACAGCAAGAGAGAAGGAAAAAACAGTGATAATAATTCTCAATAATTCTCATCCCAAATCCAAAACATAGTCTCACGCTAGCTTCTGTGAAGAAAACCAGTTCTATCCTGGCTGAAACCAGGACATAAATACACTGTAATTGTTTAAAAGGCTGTTTCTTGGGAATACTTACTTTCCACTAAGAATATCCAGTTTCAGCTGCAGAACAAATAAATATCTGTGGGATTAAATAAGAAATAAAAGCCATTGATGAATAGTTCTAATGTGTCACTGAGCCAACAGGAGAAAGTTAGAGCCTGACAAATAAAAGCATTTTCTACTCTTTACATGGGTTTTCAAGACTGAAGAAATGGCATTGTGATGTCTCAAGGCTTTATTGGTTGGGTTTTTATGCTATACACACATTTCAAATGAGGCAGAATCATAGAATCGTTAAGGTTGGAAAAGACCTCAAAGATCATCAAGTCCAACCGTCAACCCATTATCACCATGCCCACACTAAACCATGTCCCGAAGTGCCAAGTCTACACGTTTTTTGAACGCCTCCAGTGATGGCGACTCCACCACTTCCCTGGTCAACCTGTTCCCAGAATTAGAAGTTGTCACAAGCTGAACTAGCATTGCATGGAAAAGGAAATACAATACCTAAGCAAGTCTCATTTTTTCCTCTTCTGATCCTACTTGGGCAAAGAACAACTTGCATCTTCCACATTTTCTTCATTATTCATAGATGTATCAATCTCATAAGAGAATAAATGTTTTAAAGTATCTCAAAAATAGACGTTCCTAATATGGATTGCTTAGTTAAAATCTAACTCAGAAAGCTGACTGCAAAGTGACAAAAAAACCCCAAACAGGAGGCTGCAGCCTTTTCAACTTCAGAGCCAGCTTTCCTTCACTGCCTTGCTTATTCAGTACTACTCTTGCTTAGAAATTGGGCAAACATTGAATAGGAAGCTCCTGTCCCTTTGGTGTGCAAAACCAATCCTTCCAATCCAAAACCCACAAAGAGTAGCCCTCTTGCCCCACCACGGTACACAGTTTTCCTTTAACAAGAGAAGAAGTAGTCTCATGAACTAAAACGCTGGCATCCGTGATGCTATCCAGTTTGAATTCTACTACAGATGAACAGAAGCCTTACGCACAAAGCCAAACACGATGCTTGTGTTTTGACATGCGCCTACGTCTCCTCATACTCACGTACATAGACACAAAACAGATAGAGGCATTTTTCCTACAGGTCCCTTGGAAATCTACAAATACTTTGCCAAACCATTTATTATCCAAAGCCTTTTGTACACTGGTCCCTACGTGGGGAATAAATTTGTTTGGTACTGACCCTAGGCATCAAAAGAATGAGCACAGGCCTGCAGTATATAGTGGGTGTGACCAATATGTGCTTATCAGCCACACAACACTCGCAAACAATTCAAGCATACTTCCCATGCCTAGGCTGTGTTACATGCCCTCTGACTGGTGGCATCTGATGGGAAGCTGGCAGAAAACGTGAGCAATCTGCACCAGTGGAAGCTGAAAAGTGGCTCCAGCTGGGTGTCCTGCTGCACAACGAAGAAGTAGAACCCTTGGAGAGCCCCTGCTAGTGACACCTATAACCCATAGCACAGCTCCCCTTCCCACTGCTTCTTTAAGGCACAAAATTGTCTCGAGACAGAAGAAAGACTTGCTGCTCTCCTATTCTGGGGGATTAGCTAAGCAGACAGACAGGGTTTAAAAGCCCTCAGGTTTCAGGTCTGCCCTGCTAAAACCTGTATAGCAAGGTCTGACTGGCAGAACTCAGGATGGATGAACATGTTTCATAGCGGTAGATACAGATGTAGGCCTGAATTTTGACTATGGTTACTATCTTTAAAGACAGTTAAATGTTTATTCAGCAACATGAATGGGGAGGTAAAACATTCTTCACAGATCAG